TATATATATTGTATCATTCAAATCACAAATATTTTTTTAAAATTAATTTATTTTTGCAAATATTTATTATACTTGCATTTTGAAATCAATGTTTTTTTTTTTTTTTTATGAATTTAAAAAGAAAAGGAAGATTTGCAACATAACACTCAATTCTTATGTATTTACAAATCTTACGCGCCTAAAGTTCAATTTTGACACACACACAACACCTTAGTAATGCACGAATATGTAAGTTTCACTTTATTAAAGTTAAAATGGTGGTATTTTTATGCATATGAAAGCATTCGATGGTATAAACATGAAAGAAAAAATAAAGTTTAGGTGTTATGTATAAAAAATACATAGGAATTGGGGGTATGTACATACATACATGCCACTAAAAATAAACAAAGATTGTTGACACCCTATATTATTTTAATCATGAAGGTAATCATGGTGTTTAAATCATGTTTAACCATGGAGTTATAGTGATCAACTCCCAAATGTTACATGAATGATTTACAATTTATATTATTCATTTCATAGGTTTTTTTCATGTTCACAAGTTGCAGATACCATAACAACCAGTTGTATGGATAACAATGAACCTTAAAGCAAAGGCAATATCTAAGTAATAGAATGTCTAAACCCTTAAACAGAGGGTATAAGAGTAAGAGAAAGCGGTTGAGTCATCTGACTCAATTCCGCTCTATCGTGAGATGGACAACATGTAGGATGTGTTCCCCTGGTGTGATGGTCCTTGCCCTTGCACCGATCTATGAAAAGTTGGCTCAACATCCTATCCAGGTGGTCTCATAAACCCAAATCCCTCGCATGGGAAAACATCTAGCTTTTTATCAGTCGGTGAGACCAACCAGGCGACCGTTCATTCTCCTTGGTGAGAGCCTTTCATGTGGATCAGATCCTTGGTACGAGGAAACTTGATCCTCTTTGACTAAATAAATTCATTATTAATTTTTTCTGACATTTGATTACTTTTGCAGATGAGAACGCTCAAATCATTGACTCATTGATGATGGGAGCCGACCATTTCTCGACTCTAGAGGAGATCGGGGGATTGTAGCTCTAGCCCACAATAGAGGTGCATCTGATCGTCTGTTTGGCCCTCATGAGGATGTTGAGAGGGAGACAAATGGGCGTCGAGGATCACCAGCATCAGTGACTCACTGAATGAACAAGACTGTGGACTCCGCTTAAAAAACTGGCCTAAGAGGGAGGTGGCCATAACAAACCTAAAGAAAGAATTGACGACCACTTCACTAGGAAGATATAGTCGAGTTGGTAGCCTTCCGGTTAGATATAGCAACTCTTCGAATGGAGCTAACAGATGCCAAAGTAACATGTTCGATCCTCCAGGTCAGACGAAGGAGGAGAGTGTTAAGTGGTTTAAGTTTGGGGTTGAGCCCAATATTAGAGTCTAATTAGTTTGGGTCTTGTATCGGTCGAGGTGGTCGAAGAACCTAGTAAAATATTTTTTTATCTTGAATAAATAATTAATTTAGTCCATAAATTTTTGAGATTTTATGTAATTTTTTTTTCTCAAAAATTGTGTTGATTTGATGTGAATTTCTGGAGATCGTGGCATGGATCTGCGGTGTTTTAAATTTTCTAAGTACCCTATATATAAGGGTCAAGGGAAAAAAACAGTACTTTTTAATTCTTCCATTGCATTTCCTTCGGTCATTCTCGCTTTGCATGGTTTCCAAACATTCTCCCAACTCTTTGGTTCCATGTCGGCGAATGAAAAGTCTTCCCTTTCATCATTTAATGAAGAGTTTGTCGAAGATACTTGTGTATACAATGCAATTATAATGCTCGAGTCAGTGCAGCGGGAGGCTAGGGTGACCAACGATTTTGGTGAAGATCTGATTTTCTTTCGGGACCAATTCTGGTAGAGATTACAGCTACCCTTCTGTCCCGAGATATTGTCGATCATGAACCACTATGGAGTAGTCCCTAAGATAAAGCCAAACTCAATCATAGTTGTCATGTCTTTCGTGATATACTTATAGGAGATGGAGATCCTCTAATCTTAGGAGCTATTTTTCTTACAGGTTCTCTTTCAAAGTGGAGCCCAACAATTATGATATTTTTGGATCGACTCAAAAGTTCCACTTGGTCGATCTTGAGAACAAGATTGAAGATTGGAAGCTTCGGTCCCTCCACAGTATTTGCCAATATTGGGGGATAGCACAATAAATAAAAAAAATTAAAAGTTTCAAACTTTCAATTTACTGGTGGAGATTGCCATATGTTGTGTTAAACGCACAATAAATAAAAAAATTGAAATTTTCAAACTTTCAATTTACTGATGGAGATTGCCATATGTGGTGTTAAAATATTCATAAATGATTAAATTGATCGTGCTTGATATATGAATATTAATATACATGTTATAAACTTAATAATAACTAAAATTGATTTTATATGATATTTAAATACATTTAATTCAGCTTAATTAATCTATTAAGTTCGAGCTTTTTTTCTACATATTCAAACCAACACATGAGCGTATTTATTATAAAAGAAAAAATAATAATAATAATAATAGCTTCTATCAAATGAAAAATGCATAAATATTAGAAAAATAATAATAAATCATTTTAAATAAAATATTTTTACTAATTATATATATATATATATATACACACACACACACATATTGATATACACACATTTTGCAAATATTTATTATACTTGCATTTTGCCAGAAACATAAAAAGGTGATTTTGAAAGGCGGCAGGATGTCCTTCCCCATGTTCAAAAACAAACCACTCAATTCTTATGTATTTACAAATCCTACGGCTAAAGTTCAATTTTGACACACACAACACCTGTATAAAAATACATAGGAATTGGGGGTATGTGCATACATACATGCCACTAAAAATTAAAAAAAGATTGTTGACACCCTACATTATTTTAATCATGAAGGTAACCATGGTGTTTAAACCATGGAGTTATAGTGATCAACTCCCAAATGTTACATGAATGATTTACAATTTATATTATTCATTTCATAGGTTTTTTTCATGTTCACAAGTTGCAGATACCATAACAACCAGTTGTGTGGATAACAATGAACCTTAAAGCAAAGGCAATATCTAAGTAATAGAATGTCTAAAACCTTCTGAAGATTTAATAGAAAAAATAAATTGCAGTAGTAATAACTGATAAATTTGTTGTTTAGTTTTGAGGCAGAAAATTAGGAAAAAAAGGTCAGTTATTTGGCCCACAAATTTGGAGGACAATTGCATGATTCCATGGAGAACCTCCCACTTCTTTTTAATCCATTCTAATTATAAATGACCTTAAGCCCATGAAAACGCTAGGATTTTGCCTCTAAGACAGAAATAGGGTGAAGAAGCTTGTAGAGCTCAGGCCATAACAATTAATGGAGGTGGTTAGCATAATCCTTTAGGGCAAACTTTAAGATTTAAACATAGACTTATGAAGAAGTTGAAGCATTAAGCATTAAGAAATAGGGTGAAGCTTGTGGCATGTATGTAAATTTATATTTTAAAAAAAAAAACAAATCAATTTTTTATTCAAATTAAATTTAACTAGTAAATGTGAATCAAATCAAAATTGAATCAAACCAACCTATAACCAGAAGAAATGCAAGAAGAAATGAGCAGCTAGCTATTGAGAATGCAACAAAAACGGTGGCAGTCAATCAGCTCTAAAAGCTAAAGGCTCATACCAGTCTGGTCCAAAACCTGCAGCCCTCCTTGCTTCCACATTAAACGGAGGCTTCAGTGGCCCTCTGAAATATCTCCTCACAGTATCATGAAATGCATCAATCACCACACTTTGCTCAACGTCCCCAACAAAGATATCACTTTGGTTTTCAGCTTTTTGTTGCTCTGTGAGTTCTTCGGCGGCGCCATTTTCCGGGCTCAGGAAAACAGAACTTTTATTTGGGGATTGATGCCGAGCCATTCTCCTTCGGCATAAGTAGGTGAACCATTTTATACCAGCTGCACAGTGAGTAATTTCTTCTGGATAGACGACGTTCTCTAGTAATGCCGCGGTGGGTTCATCCCCTCCATTGCGGAAACGAGAGATTGTGCTCGGAAGAACATCCAGTCCTCTAGCCTGCCATAA